GAAAATGTCAGATATGCTGAAAGTCAGTATTAAGCCTGGCAAAAAGTTGTGCACATCATGCAGAAAGGAATTCGACAGTAACCAGGTGAGTGAGTCCAGCTCTACTGAATCTGATGGCCCTGCTGATAATATGGAAATCTGTGAAAGTGTAAACACAAGTTTATCAGTATTAGACATCTTACCCATTAAATATCAACGAGTTAATGCAAGGGATAAGCATGGTTATACAAAGCGTAAGATTAGCCAAGCACAGGAAATAATTGCCAAGCAGATTGCTGCAATTGAAAATATTGATTGTCAAAACCTGTTGGTACCAAGCTTCTAGCCAACAGTGCATAAATTGCCAAGACTCCAATAAACTCTTTGAAGAAATAAAGCTAAAATTCCATGTAGCAAAGTGCCAAAAATAATACAAATCCTAACCCTCGTGCCACAAAGCTGGTCTATCAAAAAGACAATGGAGCAATTCAAAGTTTCAGAATACATGGTTCGCGAATCTAGGAACCTGAAAGAAGAACAGGGAATACTAGCAATTCCTAAGAAAATACAGGGCAAGTCAATTCCAGAGGAAGTGAAGGAAAGGGTAGTACAGTTTTTTGAGGGTGAAGAATTTAGTCGAATGTGTCCCGGAAAGAATTGAAAGAAAAAAAGTCATAATCAGTGCACAAAGAAGAAGGAGAATCATAATTTCATTTTTTCGAAATCGCACCAAGGTATGTCATTTTCAGAGTCCTCTGGCTGAACTAGGAATTCAGATCCCATACTAAATAAAAGTTACTCTTGTTTAGAAAAATCTACTTTATCCAATGGTGTCATTCAAAACCAAATTGGGACTGACGCATATTGAGATATTTTGCCTTGAAAGTTGGCTAGTTTTGCACATCAATTTTTTGGGGCCAACTTTCAAGTGGGCCACCTGTGGAGAGAAACAGGTGGCCCACTTGAAAGTTGGCCCCAAAAAATTGATGTGCAAAACTAGCCAACTTTCAAGGCAAAATATATCAATATGCGTCAGTCCCAATTTGGTTTTGAATGACACCATTGGATAAAGTAGATTTTTCTAAACAAGAGTAACTTTTATTTAGTATGGGATCTGAATAGCAACAGAGTTGCTATAGTTGTATGGGATCTGATGCAATAGCAACAGAGTTGCTATTGCATCACTGCATAATATTGTGCTTGTTATACATCGTTGCAAAGGATCATGGTGTTTATACCTTTTGCTGATGAGTAAATGGTCTCCGTATTTCTCGCGACAAAATTTGGCAGTGATTTTTGCATGGATGGATAGATGAATGGTCACCCATACTTCTATTTCGATTAAAGTACGTTATTCTACACCAAACGTTGTCCTGGTATGTCAAATTTCACACTCCTATAGGCAATAGAAGTGATTTAACAAAGGGTCAAAGTTGATCATTTTTGTGGTACTTACGCATTAACGGGTCAAGAGCCCATTGAATATGGACCTGTTATTTAAGAACCAAAGCAGATTGAGCTCTAATATTTTGCAAAGTGTTATTTGAGGTCTAGGGCTATCTTATTACAAAATTTCATGGCATTTGGAGAGGGTCGAGTGGGAGCTATAGGTGACTTTTTGGTAATTTGAGATGGAATGACGCAAATGTACTATTCCTTGTGAAGCGAGTGCTCGCCTAGCTCTGGGCGAAGGTGGAAGTGTCGCCTGAGAGCTCCTGGTTTGCTGACTCATTGTTGTTTGTGTTTGTGAGCGCACCCTTGGGGTCGTGATGGCTGGAGGGATGGCGGGCCCCTTCCCTCTGTGAAGCAGAGGGATACCATTGGACTAGAATTTACTGGCCCAGCGTTTTACCCGGCAGTTGAGGTGGTGATGATTGACATGTTGTGCATGGATGTGACATCTGTGTGCGGCGTTCAACTTGTATCCAAGCATCGAGCTGTTGTGAAAATCTGCTCCGTGCATGTGTATCGTGAATTTGTGGACCGCAATGACAGGAGGATGTGTACTCTGCCTGAGGGTGGTGGTTCGGTGGAAGTGTCGGACAGGTGCAGTGAGACTACCTATGTGGCAATTCATAGTGAACCCTTTGAGTTCCCTGACTCCCTTCTCCAGCATCACTTTACTCGGTATGGGCGGGTCTGAGTGTCTGGAGTCTCCTCTGAACGGTGGAAGGGTGTCCAAAATGGGACCCGCACTGTGGCACTGCTCTTGAAGGACTCCATCCCTTTGTCTCTTCTGCTTCAGGGCTTGATGGTATGCGTATTCTATGGGGGTCAGCCCAGGACTTTTTTCCGGTGCGGACTCTCGGGCCATCAGGCTGTGAGATGTGATGCGAGCCGGGTCAGGCCTGGGAGGAGGACTTTCCCCGGTTAGCGGTCCCAGACCTGTTAGAAGGTGCTGCTGTGGTGAGTGATACTTCCCAGTCGTCTGGTGCCCCGTTGCCGGTCTCTGATGCCAGCCTCGATATGCCTGTAGGTGTCGGAATGGAAGTTAGTGCATCCCCAGCTCCCGCACCCCAGCCACCCCTGCCTGCTTCGTCTCCAGTTGTGTCTCCTGTGGTGTGTGGTTTCGTGCCTCTGGACGTCGAGGCGGCACCCTGGCCTGTACTGTCTCCGGCAGCTGTGTCTTCGGCCCGTTTCGGCGTTCACACTGTGAAGTCTCCTGTGGTGTGTGGTCCTGTTCCCCGGGTTGATGAGGCTGCGATGTTGAGTGATCGTGCGCTGCGGGGAGTTGGGCAACTGACTGGAGGTTCTGCTTCAGGTGTTGTAATCCACAAGTTAGTAGGAATTATTAGCTAGAGGATCATTACTACAACACTTAACGAATGATGATTGAAAGTACATGTAAGTAGACAGACTATGGATCACATATCTAAGAAAGGTCAATGGATTAAGACCGAAGCTGTTTAGCCAAATTAATAATTCCTGGAAAGAGGAATTATTCTTCGTCAGGCTTCTAGGATCAAGGTTGCCGCTCTAGGGATAAGGTTAATCGGATTATACCTTCCTCGAGAGGCGTGGTGAAATGATTGAGGCCATGGTTGGCTGGAGTCAGTCTGGTTGTGGAAGTTGAACTAGCAAGTCCTCCGAGGTCTCCGTTTGTGGCAGCAGCGAAGTGTAGCAGACAGCTATGCGAGAGCCTGTTGTGATCTTAGTGACCAAGTTAAGTCTGCAGTATGTGAGTATTGAATGTAAGACTAACCGGGTGTGGAGCGTTGTAGTAATCATTCCGTATTAGGGACTTAGGCGGAAGTTACAAGTGTGTGTGGTGATCGCGGAGGTCAAGTGGTCTATGGGTATTGGAAGTGTATTGACCAAATAGAGAATGTTAATATATTATTATTTGTCAGAGTCTATTCTTTGTAATTAAATGACAAAACACGACGGCCTTTAAATACCTTCCATATGTTCATTCATTGTGTTCCAGTACAAACCTAGTGGTACGCCTCAAGGGTCTGGTGTGTGTAGGAGTATAGGTGGTAGTAACGGTTGCTGAGGCAAGGTGTTATGTGTTGTGTAATCGCTGTGTTCGGAATGAACCGGGGTTCAGCGTCACGACACAGTGCCTCCTGGTGAGGGTGATAGTTCCGACGACCTGCGTCTTGTGTCCAAGCGTTCGCGGCGAGCTTTGAGTCTGTCTCCGCCTCGTGGTGAGGCCTAGGCTGACGTCAGGGATTTTGGGGTCTCCAGAAGTTCGTCGTCTGTGGATGATGATGTGGACGACGCTGTTGGAGTGCCTGCGGCTCCTGTGGGCCCTGTTGCTGCAGTGGAGGTCCTGTGGTGGGACTGAAACCTGGCCCTGGTCCGGTGTCTTCTTCGGCTGCCTCTGCGTCCCCGGTTGCTCGTTCCCCGAGTTGGGAGGTTGTGGCACCGACCGAGGTTTCGCGAGAGGGTAGGGACTTGGTGCTGGTTCTTAAGAAAGATTTTGTTGCAACGGCCCCCCATGCCTCTGGTGTCCATGTCTGTGCCTTCCGCGCGTCTGCCCTCGGTGATGCCGACCGCTGCACGGCTGCTCTATGCTCAGCCGTCATTTGTTACTCCGCCCCCAGTGGTGTCGGCCCCTGCACCATCGCCCTTTGTGATTGTGTCCCCTGCGACTCTGCCCGTTATGTTACCGCCCTGTGTTCGGCCGGCTCCTGTGCTTCAGTCCCATGGGGTTCCACCGTCTGTACCGAAAAGCTCTGTGCGGTCTCTTCCTGTGACTTCCACCCCCGTGGTGGAGGGCGCCGAACTGGATGTTTCTGACTTCATGCATCGTCAGCGAGGATCACGTAGTCACGTTAACGCATCTGCGGAATTGTGGGCTCAGCGGGATGCCTACAGCAAGAAGTAACTGCGTTCTTGGTTATCTTGAGATGATTTCGGGGCTTTTTAGTGTCCCCGCGGCCCGGTCCTCGACCAGGCCTCCACCCCCAGGAAGCAGCCCGTGACAGCTGACTAACTCCCAGGTACCTATTTTACTGCTAGGTAACAGGGGCACAGGGTGAAAGAAACTCTGCCCATTGTTTCTCGCCGGCGCCTGGGATCGAACCCAGGACCACAGGGTCACAAGTCCAGCGTGCTGTCCGCTCGGCCGACCGGCTCCCTATTATGGCCAATAATGGTGATGAGGGCAATATTAGTGATGCAGCCAATAATGGTGATGAGGGCAACAATGGTGATGTGGGCAATAATGGTGATGTGGGCAACAATAGTGATGAAGCCAATAATAGTGATGAGGGCAATAATGGTGATGAGGGCAATAATGGTGATGAGGGCAATAATGGTGATGAGGGCAATAATGGTGATGTGGGCAATAATGGTGATGAGGGCAATAATGGTGATGAGGGCAACAATGGTGATGTGGGTAATAATGGTGATGAGGGCAATAATGGTGATGAGGGCAATAATAATGATGAGTGCAACAATGGTGATGGCAATAATGATGATGATGATGCAGACAATAATGGTGATGAGGGCAATAACAGTGCTGAGAATTAAGATAAATCTTTACATTCCTATATGGCTATAAAGGTTTTCTTCAGGGCAGAACATTAACACAAACTCATCAACTCGGAGCTTTATTAGTAAGTGTAAGAGTAGTCACTAGCATAATTAATATGCTGGCACACTACCAACCAAGTGCTCGACACACACTATGGATCTACACATACAAAAAAATGCAAAATTAAATACCCCTAATGGACTATCTAACAAAGTGCTTACAAATGACTTTAAATATGTAAGACATACCAAGAAAATTATTAATGATTTAACTAACCTTACAACATTTATTTTAGCCTTAAACCCATAAGAGACAAAATAATCTAGATACTTCAGCCATTAGGCTTTCTTATGACAAATTTAAGGAATTTCTTAGAATATTGAGCAAGATTTTGGACAGAGTATATTTATCAGGAAGAAGTTGGAATTTGATGGAAAATTAATGCTTCTACCAGTAGAATATGTGTGTTATTATTTCTTACCAGTCTGATGTCTATGCTTAAAGGTACTGAACTGTAATTTCAACTAAACCAAATCAAAGCAAACCATTTCAAGTGGCTATTCATATTAAAATTACAGCATACTGGTTAGGTTAAGCTACATAAGTATAGTCAGTCTGTACTATATGCTGAAGCTAGGTTCAATTAGGTTATGTGGGAACTGTTGTATGATGCCCATACCTATCAGAATGTTTGGTCCTTTCATGAATCATGTAAGATTCTAGGTTCTACTGGTAGAATATAAAGTTCTGTCATCAACCAACTTCTACCATGACATATACAAATTAATTTTAAGCATTTCTTCAAATCAGATAAGTTCTTATGTCAAAAATATAAATTATTAATGGTTGTAACCAGGTTGTTCACATCCAGTAACAGAACTTGACGGATCTCTATTTAAAGATTCTTGACGAACATTTAAAAAGTCTGAAAAAGGGCTGAAGCTAGACTCCTGCTGCTCATGGGCAGAATTCTGAACTTGATTGGCACTGGTATCACAGTAATCCATCTTCTGGTGACTTCTTAATCGTGAGTCTCTTCCCCCAGGATAATGATCTCTTGTCATTTTAGAAAGTCTATGAACACGACTTGATTCCTGCTGTCTAGGAGCTTGTGCTGACTTTTCGTAAGCATCTGGATTCAGCTTCTGGATTCAGCGTGGTTGATTGTTCATTAAATCACTGAACTATGTGTTTACCAGATCTCTTTTAATGGGGGTCCCAGACCTTATGGTTATCCTTCGCTTTAGAGTTAGTTTTTCTTTTTATTTTGGAAACAAATACAACAAAACAGAAAAACATCAACAGCATCATTTACATGAACAAAGCAAGAAACACACTGACAAACTGTAGAACAGGGAAAACACAAACAAAAGTCATACAATACACAAAATGGAATCATAACCGTAGGTAACAATGAAATACAGTCAGAAAAGAAAACACACTTGAGCATTATAACCCAACAATAACTAAGCAAGAAACACAAAAAAAACGAATCACATAGCTCATCAAAATAAATAAATAAAGCAACACAGAGCAAGAACCACACACAGTTAATCATCATCATATATATCTATATAGAAATGACGCAGTGTAAGAATGTAAGTGTAGTGCTTTTAAAATGCTAATCTAACCTACTTACTTAAATTACACAGACTTATATCTCTCCTTCATAAACAGTGCTCGAGGTGTCTTTGAGGATAACGAAGATATCAAGATATATGGAGGCCTCATATGATATGGGGACGTTCCCCCCCTTGCCTGGTGTCGGTGTAACTGTAACAGTATCGGACCGCAGTGGTTCCTCTACCTATGTTGTGGTGCATGGAGTACCATTCGAGTTCCCGGAGGGCCTGTTAGAGCGTTCTTTTGGCAAGTTTCGGGCTGTTGTGAAAGTGCGGATGAACGTTGTATTGTCTGGCAGATGGCGAGGCGTTTCGAACGAGCCATGTATTATAACCATGCGCCTTCAGTCTCCGATTCCTTCCTCCATAATACTTCTTGACCTCAACGGTGACATCTTTTACGCTGAACAGCCTAGAACGTGTCTTGATGGTCTTGATTGTGGTCTTGATGGGCACCAGGCGACAGGTTGCCATGCAAATGGTGCGGCTCCCGTGACCTTGTTCCCTGAAGAAGACTTTTCCCTGCTGGTGAACGTGCAGGCATCTGTGTGTGATGTGGCGGATGTCACTGTCGTCCGTGTGCTCCCAGGTTGTTGGTGATGTCCTGGAAATGGATCGTGTGGTCCCGTCTGTGACGTGCCAGCCTGCGCCTCCCCGTGGCCTCTTTCCTCTGGCGGTTTCTTTGGAGGATATGGTTTCTTTGGTGGATGGGGGAAGTGGTGCTGCCTTGTATTTCAGATGACGTGCCTGTTCCCATTGCGTCGTGTGTGGTGGTGCATGGTCTGATGCCTCCGCATGTTGCTCCGGGGAAAGTCTTGCATGGCTTTGCGGAGCGTGCCTGTGAGCTGTCACACTATGGCTCGCCTGTGTAGGTCGTGAAGGCGTTGGAGGACTGATAATATGCGGCCAGTTTCGAAACAATCTCGTGTGGCTCACAACGCGTCCCCTTGCCCTGCTCGTGTTTCATATGCTGATGTGGGTGATTTTGGCAGTTAGCCGTCTTCCTTGAGTTCTGATGTGGATGATGTGGGTGATGCTGTTGGGGTGTGTTACGGCCCTCTCGGGACGCAACGGGGTTCTTACTCTGATGTAGTTAGAGGAAGATATATATCCGGCCCCAAGCCAGTAGAGGCTATCAAGGGATGCGATCCGTGACGCAAGTAACTTAAAGGGAGTAGGGAAAGAAAGGTAAGAACTTAATATAATATAATGTTCACCATCACCATTTAAATATATAAAAGGAAAACGTACACAAGGGGGAGGGGTATTAACACTTTACAAAGGGGATCAACACTGTAGTCTTCTGCTAGAGACTATGGATCCTCGAAGCTAGGTGCTGAGTCCGCGGTGCTTTCTTCGTGGCCTCAAGACGTGTCCTCTGAGAACGCCGAGCCTACCCTGGCCACAGGTCAGCCACAACACAGGTCCACTGGGGGCACCGTCGTGGAGGCCGTCAACCACACGTCCAGCAGGTCTGCTGGCAGGTACTGAGCCACCACGGCTGGTACGGCCACTCCACGAACGATAAAAGGGGTACGTCCTAGACAGGAGTCTCGTGTGATATCACCAATCACCCTCCTGTCCTCAATACCCCAGTGGATTATCGTCTCCAACAGTCGGTCCCGGGTAAATCCTTTCACTGCCACTCCACTGGCAGGCTTAACACACCACAGTGTTCTTCCGGGGGGACGACGTCACAACAGCTGCAGCAAACTTCACAGTATGGAGACTGGCTGCCTCGGGTAGACTGACTCCACTTCCATCACAGTGGTCCCAGGTCGGCTCTGTAAGCAGACGTCATTAATAACCGGGACACTAATACACCACACTCACAGGCTCAGATACAAACGCTCGACATATCCACTCCATAGATGGCGCTGTCTTCGGAGCACCACTTCACCAGAGGTCAGGAGCGGCGGTGTTGAGCGCTGAACCAGACTGGAAACTGGTCCTTGAGGCCAGTACACGCTGTCCTCACTAGGTGTCGTCGTTCGTTTGGCGGGGGTTTCGGGAGCTGACCCACAGATGGCGTGTTGGTCACTGCTCCAGGCTCTGACGTTGAATCTGGGTTCGTAACACCTCCCCACCGAAAAGAATTTGGTTTGGGGTTCTATAAAAAGAAACACAAACCAAATTAGTACGACGACACAACTCCAAATGGACACACATGCTTTATAATCTGGGATGTCGAGGCTGTCACGTCTACAGAACTGTACTGAGGAACCCTGGCACAAAGGGAACTTGATAATGGCAGGCGATGACCTGCCTGACGTAATCTTCCACACCTCCTCTGCGATGGCAAACAGGGGCATCATCACACACCTCTCTAGTGAGGATCCGTGTAGACTCGATCTGGGGTGACTCGACACTTCCCTATGTCGTGGCACTGATGATGGCTGAACACAGACGGCATTTCTGGTACCGATCCGGTAGTCCTTCAGGGAGACGGGAACCTGGAATACAGAGGTCTGATAATTCAGAGTGATAGCGACAGTGGGCAAGGCAGTACTTACTACATACTCTTCTACTAGGCCCGCACCTAGTTCCAACAGGGCTGCTTGCTCACCGAAGATGGCATTCGCTCTGCCCCCGTCAGGTCGACCAACGTTCCGTATAACGCTGTGTTGAGGCTCAGCAGTCACGCGGGGGGTGTCAACCTGTCGGAAACAGTCACTCATATTATCACATCTCGTACCTCCTGTATCATCTATTACCTCCCAGGTCCCTTCTTCAACTGCAACACTTGCAGTACAACTCTCCAATCCCTGGGACCTCTTCGCGATGTTCCTGGGAGCCATCATTCGTCGGGTCGTCCACCGGTCCTCACCGAGAGCACAAACGAGAACACATACGAGAATCAAACAAAGTATCGCTAAGAAACATGAGGCCAATTGAGGGATAAGCTTCCCGAGCCAGTCATGTCCATAGCCGGCCACATCCACACGCCTCGCTTGGACCGAAGAGGGCACTAGACCTTTTGAACACACCGCACCTACCTCTGACGTCTGGGGAATCTCTGGCTGGTTCACTACATGCTGTAACTTGCCATACCGCAAGCACACATCCGCCTTCGCTCCAGACTCGTTGGTATCCGTGGGTGCCCGCACACAAGGCCTCTCTTCTTGCTCAGGTACCTCTGCCTTCTTAACTTCATGTTCCTCGTCGAGAGAATCAGGAGACACTGCTAGAATATCGTCGATCTGCGGGTGAGAGGACAAATTAAATATGTTTACATCCGGGTCTGTCTTTACCTGGACATTACCATTGCCTGTTACCTCAGACCGTGCTGTTCCGGTAGACTCGTCCGCAACCTTGGGAAGATTGATGCTCCAATCTGTCACCAAGTCGTTGGCTAGTACCACGTCAATCCCAGC